AATTATAAAAATATATTAAGATAATTTTTTTAAAATTTTTATAAATTATATACTAGAGTTTTAACTATAAATTAAAAATAATTTTATAATAATAAAGATATTATTTATTATAAAAAAATTCAAAAAACTTAATAATTTTTAGAAAAATTTATAATAAAATTAGTAAAATATTATTAAAAAATAAATATTTTATTATAATAATTATTATAATATTCTATTTTTTTTAAAAAAAAATAATTTAATTAAATTATTTATTAAAAATCTAAAGTTTAAAAAGACAGTTTATAAATTAATATTTAAATTTATTAAATTATTTTAAATTATAAATATAATTAGAAAATAAATATTTTATTTATATTTATTAATAAAATATAATTATTTATATAATATTTTTCATATTTTTCTTCGAGATTCTTAAAAAATTAAAAAAATTAAAATTAAAATATTACTTCTATTTAATTTAGATAATAATAATAAATAGAAAATAAAATAAATATCAAATAATCTAATATTATAAGATAATTAATTCTATTTTATAATATAAAAAAATAATTTTTAGAATATAATTAATAATTAATAAATAGAAACTTAATAAATATTTTATAAAAAATATATAAATTTAAAAAAATAAAGTTTAAAAAAAAATTAAATAATAAATAAGTTATTATATAATATTTATATCGTTTACTTTTAAAATAATAGTAAAATTAGATAATATAATATAAATATTATTAATAATAATTTTTTTTTAATTTTTATATTTTTAGATATTAGTAGCCTAGTACTTAATAATTTCTTTTTAATAAAAAATAAAAATATAATAGAATACTTCTATTTTTCTTATTAAATTAAGAAAATATTATATTTAATATAGTATTTACTAATAATATTAGTCTTCTTAATATACTTTCTTATTTTAATTAGATCCAGCTATTAAAGTTGTAGATATATATATAATATATATAAAAACTAATAATAAACTAATATAATATAAAACCCAGAGTATACAGTTATAAAAAAATATAAAATAATAATATATTATATTTAACTAGACTATAGCTATATTTACTATATAATTTAAGATATAAATATAATTAATATCTATTTAATAATAATAATAAAAAAATTATATAATAAGATATTACTACTAGTAAAATATTATTAAAATAAAAAAATATTTATAAATTATATATAATTTAAATAAAAAAAACTTTATTTTATTTTATTAATTATAATTTTTTTATTTTATTTTATTAATAAAATAATATATAATTTTAGTAATTATAATATTTAAATAAAAAATAATAATATAAATTTAAAATAAATAATTAATATTATCTAATAAAAATACTAGAAATTTATAATTATCTCTAATTTAAAATATAAAAATATAATAAAATTTAATTTAATTATAATAAATATTAAAATAAAAGCATATATAATAAAATTATATAATTTATAAATAATAAGATCTTATTCTTTATTATTATTATATTAAAAAAAATTAAATTATTTAAAAATTATTAATTATTTTTTAATATTTTTAAGTATTCCGGCTATAATTTATAATATAATTACTTAAATTTTTTGATTAATATATTAATAATATTTTATATTTAATATTATATTGAAATGATAATTAGATTTAAAGAATTTATTTATTTTTATATCAAATTATTTTACTAAAGTTTTTAAAATATTTTAAATAAAATAAGATTTTTAGATTAGGAAATATTATAGATAAGAAATAATAATTTATATATATAATTATTATAATAAATAATAAATTTTATACTTATTTATCAATTTCTTAGTATTACTAAGTAATAAAAAATATAAAATAATATTTATATATATTTTAATAAATATTTATTAGTAAATATTTATTAATAAAAACAGTTTAAAAATAAGTATTTTATAATAGAAAATAATAAAATCTAGAAAATCCTAATATTAATAAAATAAAAGAAAAAAAAATATAAAAAAATTATTATTATTATAATAGAAATAATATTATATTTTTAAAATAGAAAAATACTATTTAAAATATATTAATTTAATATAAATTAGTATTATTATTTTCTACTATTAATTATTATATTTATAAAAATAATTAATTTAGTTATTATATTTATAAAAATAATTAATTTAATTATTAAACTAATAGTATTATATTATTATTTTATATTTAAGAACAGCTGCTTTTAAGAATAAATTAAATTATTATAATTAATTTATATAATTAAATAGTTATTATAATAGAATACTTATATTTTATTTATAAAATAGATATAATATTAATAATTTAATAAAATCTATATTTTAAATATCTAGATTTTGCTATATACTAGAAAAACAAGAATTAGTCTATATCTATATAATACCAGTACTTTGATTCTACACCTAGCTGACCTTTTCCCTTTACACCAGGGGGTAAAGGCATTCTGGCTGGAGCTGGAAGTAGGGTTATAATACTTAGAGAATCTAAAAGTAGATTATTTTACTAGAAACTGTTTCTATAAATTACTAGAAGAATAAATAATATTAGAAAGATAAATAAATACAGGAGCTTAATAATAATAGGTATATAGATATTATATATAAAATATATATATTAAGTTCCAGATAGTCTCTAATTAGGTAATAATTTAATTTATAATAATAATTTTTACTATAATTTTTATAAGTAAATTTAGAGTATAGTAATAAGTAATAGAAGATAAATAAATTTATAAAATTATAATTAAAGATTACTAGTCTTCTTATAGAGTTTTTATTCTAGAATTTATACTAGTTTTTAATAATATATTAAATAGTATTAATAGAAGATCTCTAGAAATAATTTTAATTCTTATTAAATATAAAAACTTATTTATTCTCTAAACCTTATAAAAAGATAATAAATTTAAAATAAAAATAATTTAGATTTAAAGAATTATAGTAAAGCAGTATAATTTTAAATTTTTAATTAATAATTTATTTTAATATAAATAATAAAATTATATTTAATATCTTAGCTTTTATAATTAAATACTAGAATTTAATAAAAAATCTAATAAACTTTTTATTTTTCTAATTCAGATAATATAGTTTATTATAAATATTATAAATATTATTTAAATTTCTAAAACCTTATTTAAATAATTTTAAAATATTAGTATAATCCTGGGTTTAATAATATTTATTATAGATATAAAGTAATATTTAAATATAAATAAATCCAGATAAATAATTAATAATATAAATAATATAAGTCTTAGCAGTTAGGAAATAGTTAATATTAATAATTAATTTATTCTTAATTTAAAAAATAAAGTAAAAAAATCTTTTTAAATATTTTTAAATTTATTAAAATTAGATATATACTTAGAGAAAAGAATAGAGATAAAAGATTTAAAATTAATTAATATAATTATTTTTATTAGAATAGCTAATAGTTTTTTAGTAATAAATTTAGAAATCTAGATTAGAATATTTATTATAAAAATAATAATCTAAATAACTTTAGTATATTTAATTATAATTTAGTTTTTTTTAAAGATAATTTCTTAGTAGTAGTAGTTTTAATAAGTTACTAGATTATTCTAATTTTTTTTATTAGACTTAATTAATTTAAAAAATAAAAAATATTTTTTTTATGTTTAACTGGTTCTGTATCTTTATAGTATAAGTATAAATTTAATTATAATAATTAAACTATTCTTTAGAGTATTTATTAATATACTAAGTAAACTCTTTTAATATATTTAGAATTATAAAAAATTATAGGATTACTAGTATCTTTTTAGGCTGTTATTTTAAAAATAAAAGTTATATAATATTAAGATATAGATTAATAGAAGTAATAAATATAATAATTTAAGTTAATAGATTTTAATTATAATTTTTTAATTCTTAACTACTTACTTAGATTAAGCTATTTTTAAATTATAAATAAAATATAACTTAAAGAGTTATAATAGGGTTAAGAATAAGTTATAAGATTAGATAAATTATATATTATATATTAAATAGTTGAGATTAGTAGTATATTTAGGTAGATAGAGTAAATAAGATAAATAGAATAATTAAAATAGATAAAGTAGATAGAGTAGATAAAATAGACAGGGTGTTCTAAACCTGCACTATGATAATTTCCTATATAAAATAGTAATCTTTATTTTCTTATATCTCTACTAATTCTAGATATTATTCTATATAATTTTATATAGCTATATATCAATATTTATATAAAGAATTTTTCATTTAAAGTTCAATAAAATTTGGTATAAAGGGGTATAGTATATTTTTAATATTTTTTTCTAGAATAATCTTTTCAAAAAAAGATATAGATATTCTTAAATAAGATTTATAAAAAAATTAATATATTTACTTCTATAATATATTTATTTAGAATTTTTAAGTATTCTTATTATTATAATATATAAGTTTAAATGATCTACATTTAATATTAAATACAGCTCTGCACTGTTTACTTACATGCACCACTCGCTTACTGATTATATTACCCGGGCAGAGAGTTGCTAAGTAAGACTAATTCTGCCGGTTTTTAGAAGTAGTTATATGTATATATAGATTTAAATAGGACAGCTAATACATCATCCTAGTTAGGCTAACGCCCGAATCTTACCGCCTTATCCTATATTATTAGAGGCTTGAGAATAGTGATACACGGCCTGGGAATAACAATTTCCTAACAATTTCCCTTACCTGTCAGGGGTGTGGGTGGGTTGGTGGAACGACAAGGAATGTAATAATACAGTGTAACATACTGGCCAGTGAACCAATCCCCTGTGGACCCTACTGCGGGTCCCACTGAAAAAATCCTCATATTAGCCGACTAATTTCCAAAGTGCCAAAATAGCTAATTTCTCCTCTCCCATAAATACCATGCTCTTGTTAAAATTTTCAACTTGATAGGCATGCTATCTCCTTCCAGTCTCGCCCTGCTATATCAGTCTAGGTCAAAGGCCGACTTCCAAACCTCAGTCTCCAGGACCATGACAGGGGCAGGATGCTCGAAACTAGATGTTCTCCCAGCGTTGCACGATGGGACTAGCTTGACGGATCGGGAGATTGAGCAGCTCCTGCTTGAAGCTGAAGACCGGTTGCGCTGTCCTGACATCAACATCAGAGAAGGGTCTAAATCAGTTGAGATCCCGGCTAAACTTCCTCAGTCAAGCTCGATCAGGTGTGTTCCATCTTCTCATCCATGAAATTATACTTCCTACATGGAAGGAAGGCTAATCTGCGTTCTGTAGAACATCAAACCTTTCAGGCGGTTCAGTCGTCGAGCCGTATGTGCGTGCACAGGCTGACCTTGCGTTGGTCGACACTGGCAAGTTATTACCCCATGCAGTCGCCAACGCTTTGCAAACTCCACAGTCGAGCCGACTCGCAGAATCAACTAAGTATAAGGTAAGAGTTTTTGGCCCCTGCCGTCGTTCGGCTTCTATCTTTGTCTTGCAATGAGGAAAATCATTTCGCGTAAGCGCTTGATACAGCTTATCATCCCGTACTGGGCTGCGCTGTATGAATGAGAGCCTTTATCTGTTTCATAGTTACTCTGAGCATCGGTTTCTTCCACTTGCATATTCCTTATGACGGAGGTATGGGATTAGAAGCTAATCTCCCCGGTTGTTAGACGAAACCTACGGCAGGCAAGGATTGGTTCAACCTTCCCAAGACCGAACTCACGGCAGAGCTAAGAAGAGACCTCCAACTTCTTCGGATGCGCTCAGTCTTGGATCCCAAAAGGCATTATAAAAAAGAAAACGGCAAATCACAGATTCCCACATACTCTCAAATCGGTACTGTCGTCGAAGGACCCACCGAGTTCTTCAGCGGTCGTATCGCGAAAAGGGACCGAAAGAAGACATTCGTGGATGAAGCATTGGCAATCGAGAAGGAGTCGAAACGCTTTGAGGCTAATTATAGGAATATCCAGAGCGCTAAACAAAGTGGTAAGAAGGCATTCTACAAAAACTTGCGCTCGAAAAGAAATTTTAGAGGGAAGTAGCATGGTTTGGTGGCTTCACGCTACCTGCTCATCTGAAGGGTAACTCGTGGCTATTGTATACTTGATATTACTCCAGGCTTATCAGTCTAGGAGTTGGCTCGAGTTTTCTAGTGCGCTCTTCAGGCAGGCTTCTCTGTCCTGAAACCGTACGGTTACCGACTGTCGGTCAGCTTAAACCCAACGCAACCGTCTTCATCACCAACCTCTGCGAAACATGTCATTGACTGTCAATCTGGTGAAAGAGGGAAGATGCATACCTGCATGTCTATTGCTGCAGAGTGCCCGGCGTCGAGGACTTCTTGGTGATCCGCCTTCCCTTCCTGCATGATTGCACCCAGCTCCCTAGCTTCCTTTCCGTCGAGGAGATCATTATCACCTCGAGGGACAGGATCAAGAACAGCTCTATTTGTCACTAGACTGAACGCTAGGACTCGTATGCCGCAATGTCTCGCAACAACAATTTCTGGAACTGTGGACATGCCAACCAGGTCTGCGCCTATCCTGTGAAGCATACGACATTCTGCTCTAGTTTCATAACTATCCTTCTTAGCTGTGTTGCAGAATTTTGGGTCTTGTACTCACCTTGGTCCACCAACGAAGGCATATACACCTTCATGCAAACTTCTGTTACCCGATATATCCAGGGTAGCCCAGGCTTTGTGAACCTGGCGACGCAAATCAAGATCATAGGCATCCGATAGAGGAGGGAATCGAGGACCGAACTCTTCGGCATTAGGTCCCCTTAGAGGATGGATACCTCCCAATCCGGGAAGGAATACATGCTGCATACGTATCAGAACAAGCCAAATATCCAAGGGGGCAAATAAGGGTGCCTGTTCTTACGTCGTTCAATAACACAATGTCTCCTACCATATAGTCTGGGTTCAACCCCCCCGCAGCGTTGGTCACTACACCCTCAGAGCGTGTAAATATCAATAACCAAGCTCCATCACTTCTCCCACACTTTCATGCCTCGGTGGGTCAAGAGAGAAACTAACAGATTATTGCATGGATGCCTAGTAGCTTGAAAACGCGTATGGGGAATGTTACTCGGTCAATAGTATGGCCTTCGTAATAACTTTTGGAAATTATTAGCAAGCTGGCCATTTATCGAAGAATGTGTTCAAGATTGTCTCTCACTGAGCCCGGCCGACCATCAAAACTGTAGGGACCTGGCCGTTTAGGCTTCCGAAGACCAGCTTTCCTGCGTGCCCGGCAACTTGGAACAATATAAGCCCTGAGCTACAACATTCAAAAGCTTGTTAGTTAGAGGAGTACCTGTAAGATGTGGAAAATTAGGGATTGATGTGTAGTCGAAATCGGCACGTGGCTCGCTATCAATCGTGTTGGCGAGCCCTCCTAGGCCAGAGCCACAAATTATGGCAATGCGAGGAGCTTGTAATGAGGATGGCAAGTGATTTCGTAGGAAAGTGACCGCTTCATGCGCTTGCTCCAGTACTGACGGAGTGTTGGAAGTTTGTGCCATGTTCTCGAGTGATAAGGGAATCTGGGCTGCTGTAAGTCTGTGACGACGAGGCGTGAATAAGAGGGATAAAGGTTGGACAAGCTTAGCAAAATGGTATAGACTAGATAGCCGACCAACTCGCACTGGATTAGTCATGTGCTACAATGTTAACTAGTTAGCCAATCAACCAACTAACTAGCTAATTATTCATGGAGCATAGTTAATGATCGTCACGTCTCCTCATTCTCAGATGGGGCGTACCGTCTCTTGAACCGGAATGATCTTGGCCGTATCGCAACTACCAGTCTCACGGACTGATGTATCAAGGAACTGCTAAACATTATTCACTAGCTCTTGTAACTACGACTCCAGGCCCGGCTTGTTGTGCCCTGGCAACCTCAGGTTCTAATATACTTAATACGTAGATGAGGAAAACACGACTGGTCCTTTTGTACGAGTTGTAGGTGTCGGGATCATGATGTTTCCCCAGGCAATGTATCAGAAAGGAACGTCCTAAGTTCCTGCCAAGTTACTGCTGGCTAGATAGCTAACAGGTACTAGAGAAGCGAGCAAGTCATTATGTTTGCATAACTCATAACGTTCTGATTTGATGATATTTTACCAGGACATCGAGCAAATACATCAAGTGCCACAGTAAGTTATGCGATAGAGCCCAGATTATGGTATATAGTCATAAGAGCTTCGGGTTCAAATTCATATCACTTACACCCGGAGTCTACTAAATATCAATATCATGACTTGCATGTCGACTAGCAGCGCGATCAATCATTGCTGTCATAGGATCAGACACAGCGCGATGTGCAACAACTGCAGCTTCTTATGGGAAACTCACACTGACCGGGACAAACCGATTTCCCCGGTTTTTCGTCACAATCGAGTCCATGTTTCTCCAGACATAATGGTCCAATCTACTGGTACAAGCATCGCTACCAACGTGGTTTTGTGCATAGTACAGTAAGGATGCGTGCTGCCAAAAACATACGTACCATAATTGAATGATTAGTTATCAGGTACGATACTTCTAGAACAACATCAGTTATTCTTTACAAAGAGCAGTGCTTGCGTCAAAAGCATAATTTATCGACCAGAATAGGGATGTACTGAATCGAATGTTTACTTCAAATAAATCGTTGAGTGATAGATGGAAGATACGGTTCATCGGCTGATTGTAATACAGATTTTAACTCATTTTTGTCATGATTGAAATAGTGACACGGTTAACTTAAGATGACAGGAGGAAACAGCATCCAGGATCAGCGAGTGATGACAACCTTAAACGCTTTCGAGAACCGTTTCCTTGAACTCCCTCTCAACCTTGTGGCCCTTGTCATCAGTCGTAGACTCCCCGTGCAGGTTAAGCAGCGCACCGAGGTCGAACTTGGGGGACTTCAGGAGCTTGACCTTGCGGATGTGGACCTAGATTAAAGTTAGTGAATCAAGGGCGACGCTGATACTGAGTCACTTTTGACTAACGTTCTGCAGAGGGTAGATGCCCTGGGTAGCCTTCTCAATCTCACGGCCAATGACTTCGGGAATCAGCTTGGTAGTCAGCTGGGCGAGAGAGCAGCTGGCGGCTTCGCGTTGAATGATCTCCGTCATCTTCTTGCGGATGGCACGGATCTGGGAGGAGCGGGCGTATGTGGTCTTCTTGATCTGGTTGGGGCGTCTCTTGGTGAAAGCGATGGCGAACAGACGGAGAAGATAGTCATCAGTGGTCTTGACCGTGACATTGGCCTCGATCAAGGACTGCCACTTGCGCACGAGGGAACGGAGCTTATCGGTAGTGAAGTCCAGTCCGTGGAAGTTGGTCAGACAGTTCTTTCCCTGGATCTCGTCGACACGGAGCTTGACCTTGCGGAAGGCATGGTCTTCGTCGTTCTGCAGATCGGCAAGGGAGACCTCGACGATGCGGCCCTTAAGCGAGTCGTTCGCGTTCTTCAAGCCGCTGGTACGGTTGACAAGGGTCTTTCCAACACTTCATGGTAGCCAATTAGTAAGTTTGCCGAATAGCCGAATTCAGTAGGAAAAGTTTGCACGAGATCAAATCGCAGAGGCAAGCAGAAACTGGAGCGTTGGGGCGGCGGCATACTCTCTGATTTGGAAAGTTGAAGGAGCCTAATGATGGTCAGTCAAGTCCACAATGTAACCTATCAGCAAGCCTACCTTCAAGGAGTACTCGTCCTTTCTGGAGAAGGGATCAACAGTCCTCTTCTTGATGCCCTTCTTGCCCTTCGACAAGCGCTTGTTCCTATCAGGTAAATCAGTTACTGAACGTTGCAAAGCATAGTCTTATGTCCGGTATGTTGGCAGAAGGGACGTAATTTGGCATACTTTCCGACGGCCATTATTGCGACTCAGGTCTATCCCGCAACAGTTGAAGACAGACTGGAATATCACACCAAGCGCTCTGGTGGAGGGAGTCGATTCGATTGTCGCTGGCTTGCTGCTCGATCGCGGAAAAGTGTAGAAATCCAAATCCCACAGAAAAGTCAGCTAAGCGAGCCGTCGGCCCTATCACCAAATTACATAATATCAGCCCCCACAAACAGGTATGATACGGCTTATGATTGGTTATTTGCACTGAATATCACGTGTCACTGGTGTCTTCGCGGTAGGCTTATACTCTTTAAGTTGAGTGCACAGGTGACTGTAAACCAGGAGTAAGCAAAGTAACTCATACATCACTCTTTGTAGTCGAATACTTATAATTGAGTTCGTACACTTGGCCTGTGCATTTATAACGCCCTCACTTATTTTGCACTGTGAAGAACATTTTCTAGGTTGACATATAATCTTCAAGCATGCCATTGCCTTCTAGAGCCATTGTTGGAACTGCTCATACCTACAATACATAACCCAGGATACAATCTGTGTCACACTAGGTGGAGTCACATGGTATCTGGTAGACCTGGTAGACTAACCCCGGCCACATCGTCTTACCTCAGGCTTTATGCATTCATCCCGGATATGTTTCAATTATGGATTACCCAAACCGGGCGGCGCCGCGTAGGCGAAGTGGCGTCTTTCTTGCGGCCAGCTGCATGCGTATTATACCCGTACCGAAAACATATAAGCGGGCGGCAGTATTGAAGTATTACAGCGTTTCTTGTTCTCGGGTGCTGACATCAGATCACCACCCATGAACAATTAATCAGGATTGAGCTGATGCATATTTCCTGGCTTCAATCACCTCAGTGAAATACAAAGGAATCTAAATCATGGTATGTTTTCTGTTTACATGAAACTATCATTGTCCACCAGGCTGACACTCGACCTATGACTTAGGGTAAGCGGAAGAAGTCGAGCAGGCAGCCCCAACAAACCAGAAAGGTGATTGGTTAAGCTGAGAACCTGTAGCCATCAATGTATTAACCTGGCGACAGAAGGAACCACTGCCCACAACGTTTGCATGCCTCTTTTGCAACCACGAAAACTCGATCATAGTGAAGCTAGACAAAAAGCTTGGTTTGGGAAACCTTACCTGCAAGGTGTGCGGGCAAAGGTTCCAAACAGGGATCAATTGTGAGTCTGCATTTCGCGCAGCATCCGTCAAGTATGCCGAGCCTTCTTAACCGACGATCTAGATCTCTCTGCCGCTGTTGATGTGTACTCCGACTGGGTTGATGCCTGTGACGCGGTTGCAAAGGACACTGCACATGATTATCAAGAAAGTGATGCCCGTGTCCGACACTCGAATGAGTCTGTCGTTTCACCCGGTGCTCGGAACTTTGATGCTGATGATGCGGACGTTGGTGATGAATACACTGATGATTACTGACGTGCCTAGAGCAATTGGCAGAGTATGAGTTATGGCCAAATCTGCATTGCTAAACTTTAGATGACTCTATTGACACCTCCATTCCACCGGAATAGGCATGATAAATGTAATGGTATTTAAAGAGAATAGATCGATATAGCCCAGGCACCTCAAAATCTTTTATCGGAGTACGAGCCCCCGATCACAACGTATAATATCGATCACCAAAGTCACCAAGGCCCGGGATGATATACCTGATAGTGGTCAGCGATGATGTCGGACTCGAAAGGATACGCAGTGCTTACTTTCTCTCGTCCAAGCCTTGGTCTATAAATGCAGTCACAACCCTGAGTCTAGGAAAACGTTTTGCAAAGTCTGCAACTCCTGAGGGACTTGCGATAAGATTTAGAAAGAGGATACGGTCTTCTGGAACACCCTTGGCCTTCAGAATCTCAACCGCGAGTGTTGCTGAGCCACCTAGAAACCATCAGTTTAGTTCAAACATGTCGTGTTTTCATGACCTACCTGTGGCAAACATAGGATCCAACAGAAGTACCCAGCGGTTGCAAATATCAGTTGGGAGCTTCTCATAAAAGAGTTTCGGTTTGCAGGTCTCCTCATCCCTCTGGATCAATATCTTTCCAATACGGACGGATCGACAGCAGTCCCTCAAGCCTTGCTCCATCGCTTCTCCTGCCCTCATGATAGAAACGCCACAGATTTTGCCCTCGAATCTAACTCCAAGATAAACACGCCCTACGGGTGTGGTGACAGATTGCTCAACCACCGGTAAATGATTGAGGCCTTCTTCGACGAGAAGGCGGATTATCCTGTTAGAATAAAATATGAAGTCGGCACGGCTGGTCTTCTTGTCTCTGATCATGCTATAAAGAGTCAGCCCGCCATAGCATGTAACAAATGCGATGCCCCGGAAACAGAGTCATCTCGAATACTATATCTTACGTCAGAAGGGCGATAAGTTGAGGGGTCTGGGGTAAGACATGGACATTCTCATAAGATATATCCTTGGACACAGTTGCTGTGGGCTTCTCGTCCTCCGGCCTGTAGAAAGGGCCTACACCTTGAGCGGGAGAAGGAGCGGATTCCGGTTTGCCCATTTTGTCTGTGGTGAACGGGTTACCCAGAATTATGAAGTTCGGAGAGAGAGCAAAGATCCTAAAAGCCCACGGCTGGGGTGTGTCTTCGTGTCCGCAGTGGGCCTTTGTTGCTACTGGTTTGAGTAGTTAATATACAGTACTAGGCTAGTGTGAGAAACATGCAAGGGGAACAGTACAGTTTGATATTCTTATATTATGTTATTTAATTAAAATATTTTAAATAGAATGGGTTTTTTTCCCTAAAAAATAATTAATATTATTTAATTTTGAAACTATACTGATTATTCGTAAAAACTGTAGGATAAAATAATGATTATTCATCTTAATGTTTTAACTAGTAATCCTAGAGAAATCTCTAACAATAATTAATATAATAGAAATAATTGATTATATCAGATACAGGGGCCTATTCGGCCTAATTCAGCTTATATTAGTACAGGAGACCTTATAAAAATAATAATAAATGTTAATTAAATAAACTACAATTATTAATATTATTTAATCAATAATAATTTTATCAAATATTATTTATATAAGTCAAATTAAACTCTAAAGAATTAAATATATGCAAAATAAATTCTTAACCTAGATTATAAGGTTTAATAATTTGAATATTATTATAGTAGTTAATAGCAAAATCTAAGAGGTAAATAAATATAAAGATTAATTTAGAAGAGAAACCTTAAGAATAATTAAATTCTAAAAATCTAAAAATTGTTTATTGAATAATATAGAAGATCATAAAAAATAAGATAATAAAATTCTTATATAAACTAAGAATTATTATATATACTAGTTTAATAGGTTTAATATTTTATAAAATAATATATATATTAATAAGTATATAAAGAAATAATATATGTTTCTTAATTAGAAAATTAGATTAAATATAAAAAAATAATATATTATAATTGTCACAGTGCAGACTTAGAGCACCCTGTCTACCCTGCTTACCCTGCCCACCCAGGTATACTGCTGTTCCTGACCGCCTTACACGTGACGTACAGCCTACCTAACCTCCTGACTTATCCCTGACTAGAGTAGCTAACAGTTAAAAAACAGGTTAAAAACTGAATATTAAAAAAATATATTTAAACTAATTAAAATCTATATATTCTTATTTTTAAGTTAAAATCTAATAAATATATATATTATATATATATATTATATCTATATTACAGTCTAGTATACTTAAATTATATTTAATATATAATTAATTAATTCTAGATTTTTTTATAATAATTTTTAATTATCTAGTATTTTATTATATTAGGTTTATATTATACTAAAAATAGATTTAATTTATAATATAAATATTTAGTTTATAATTATTAATTTTTATAAAATATTTTAATTACTAGTTATATTTTTTAACTATTACTATTAACCTGACCTGGCTGTTAGCTACTCTATCCCTGATCCTGTTGTAGCTCTCTGAGCTTTATCTTGTCTATAAACCTAAGGATAACCTGACCTGAGTAGCTATTAAGAATCAAGAGAACTATTATTGAGACCTGCCAGCCTGAACTACTATACCTACTACTTCCACCAGCCTGCACCTTGACAATAATTAGAAATTTTAATATTTTTAAAAATTGATAGATTAGATTATTTATCAAATATTTTTGATAATTTTATATATCTTATAAATAAAATATATTTAAATTAGGACAGAAAATACTTAGTAATAAGTTTTATAATATATCTTATCAAAACAATATATTTATATAGAATCATATATTTTTTTCTAAAGAATAAAATTAGAGTAGCTAGCAGCCAGGTTAGGTTAATAGTAATAGTTAAAAAATACAGCTAGTAATTAAAATATTTTATAAGAATTAATAATTATAAAAATATATTATAAATAAATATATTATAAACTAAATATATATATTATAAATTAATTTATTTTTAATATATTATTTATTTAATATAGTAAAATACTAGACAGTTGTGAATTATTATAAAAGAAAATCTAAAATTAATTAATTATATATTAAATATGATCTAGCTGTACTAGACTATAATATAAATATAATATAAATATATATAATATATATTTATTAGATTCTAATTTAAAAATAAGAATATACAGATTTTAATTAGTCTAAATATATTTTTTTAATATTCAGTTTTTAACCTGTTTTTTAACCGTTAGCTACTCTAAATAAAATAATTGAATATTCTATCAGAAAATATCTTATAAATAACATAAAAGAATTAAAATAGTATTATAAAAATAGATTTAAAGTAGATATTTAGAATAATTAAATAGATAATCTATAATTCTAAAGAAAAAAGTTATATATAAAATATCTAAGAATAGTAATAATAAAAGATATAATAATATAATAATATATTACTAAAATTTTAAATTTTTATCACAGAATTAATATATGATATATATATATCATATATAAGTATATTAAAATATTAATTTTGAAAATATATATTTATATTTTATATTATATAATTTTAATGTAAATAACTATAAACTTCAAAAGTTTTCAATATTAAAATATAATATAAAATCTTAAGTAGTATTAATCTAATAATAAATATTTTTTAACAATATCTAGAATATCTTTTTATTTTGTTTAATAGAAATATTTCATAAATAATAAAGTTATTTAATTCTAAAAGATTATAGTATAAGATAAGTAGAAAGATATAGTATTTATAAAGTTATCTAAAAAGAAAGTTTTTTTATAAAGCTGTTATTACAGTAGTTGATGGCTTAAGTCAAGAAGTAAATAAGTAAAAAGATTAAATTAGGAAGAATTCTTAGTAATACTTAAAATTCAGAGATCTAAGAAGTCTTCTACTAGAATAGTATAAAAAATAGTAAAAAAACAGAATAATAGAATTTTTAAATAAACTAAGATTTATTATATATACTAGTTTAATAAAATTAATATTCTTGTAGAATAATACTATATATATAAATAATAATATAATAAAAATATTAAAGAATATATAAAATAAATTAATATATTATTATATTAACTTAATCTTAGTATTTTTAATAATAGAAATAATATATTTTTTATAATAGAAATAATATATTTTTTATATATATATAAATATATATATTACTAATATGTAATTATAATTTTATATTTTATATATTTTTTTGTATAAATAATTATAAACTTAAGGGTTTTTTTAATATTAAAATATAATAAAAAATCTTAACTAGTATTATTCTTAATAATAAAGATTTTTTAAAAATATTAAGAATCTCCTTTATTTTACTTAATAAAAATATTTTAATAATCTAAAGAAATAATAACTTTAATCTTTAAATATTTTAAAACTATATTTTTGAAATAATTAGTTATACTAGTATTTTTAGGAATAATAATAAATTTATCTTTAAATAATTAGAAATAATTTAAGATTTCTTTAATAAAATATTAAGGCTATCAGAGATCTATAATAAAAAATTATTAATAAAATAATTTATTTATTATAATATTTAAAATAGAATTAATTATTAAAATAATTAAAAAAATAGTAGAAGATTATAATTTTTATTATATTATAATATAATATATTATTATCTTAATAATTTAGATTATATATCTTAATTAATTATTTATTTATTAATATAAAATAGTAGAATAGAACTAGTAAAATTTAAGATATAAAAAAATCTTTTTAAAAAAAGAATATAAAGTAAATATTATAATTAAAAATAAAGATTTTTAAAAGATTTTAATTATATTTTTAAAAATAATATATAATAATAATTCTTTATTTACCTATTTTTAAAATAGACTATTCTTTAATTATACTAATATATTTTATAAATTTATTAATAATTATAAATATTTAATTATTCTTATTTTTAATAAGAAGAGTTATAATATAATTTATAATAATTATATAAAATAATTTAGTAGTAGAAATAATTAATCATAAAATATTATATAATTAATATCTTTAGATTTTATTCTTAAGATATATAAAATAATAAAAAATATATTTATAAAATAGTTTATATATTTTATTAATAATAAGATTAATTAATTCTAGAAGATACTTTTTATAGCTTTAATAATTATAATAATAATTATAAATAATATAAAATATTATAGATAAAAAAAAGAGATAGATATATTTATAATTATTTTATTAAATTAATTAATTATTTATTTAAATATTATTAGATATACTAATATTAATATTCTTAATTATATAAAAAAATTATTTTTTATAAAATATAGTAAATTAGCTTAAAAATTAGATTATAAGATATTAATAATTTCTAATATTTAAAAATTAAAGATATAATTATTATAGATTTATTATTTAAAAAAATTATTAACTTTAATAATATATATAATATAATATTTAAATACTGAATAAATATAAATAGAAATATTTTCAAAATTATATTCTAGAATAGTATAAAGAATATCTTTAATTTAAAATAAATAGAAAAGTATGTTAATAATAATGTAAAATAATCTAAAATAATAAAATATAAATTAAAATATTTAATTATAATAATATCTATATAATTTATATAAATAACAGAAGATAAAAATAGTAATATAATTTATATAAAATATCTTATATTTTTAATTAATATTAATAAATATTATATAAGTAGTATAATTTTAATAATTATTAAAATAATTTTTATTTAAAAATATTTTATAATTTTATAAAACTAAAGTCTTTTAAAAATAATATTATATATAATAATATAATTATTTAGTAAAATTAAAGAAATAATCTAGTTTAACTAAACTTATAAAAAAAGATTTTTAATAATCTAGAGTTTATTCTTAAGTATATTAAACCAAATATATTTATATACTAATCTAGAAGTATTATAAAAAGAAAATTAATAGAGATTTTAATAAATTTGGAATTTAAATTTATATTCTTAAAATAACTAAGAATAAAATTAAGATAGATAAGATATTTATCTAGATTTTTAGAAATAATAATTATATTACTAATATAAGTATAATAAAATTCTTAGAATTTTTATAAATAAAGATTTATCTAATATTATATATATAATACTAAATTAATATATTTTATAATAATAATATAGAATATCTTTTAATTATA